TCAGTCTCCCTCCTGGCACGTTCAAGCCATTCCTCCTTGTCCTGTCCCTCCAGGCCCTTGTCCAAAGCCCCTCTCCAGGTTTCCTGGAGCCTCTTTAGGCCCTGGAGCTGCTCTAAGGTCTCCCCTTCAGGAGCCTTCTCTTCTCCAGCTGACCCAGCCCAGCTCTCTCAGCCTGGCTCCAGAGCAGAGCTGCTCCAGCACTCGCAGCAGCTCCATGGCCCTCACAAAGCACTGCAGGGAGCTCAGAGAGGCTGGCGTCACTCAGCCTGCCCCAGGAGAAGGACCAACCTCTCTGGAGAGCACAGCGACCGCTGCGGCCGGCCCTGCTGGCAGGATGCCCTCCTACAAACCTCCAGCACTGCTCCTCGCCACTGCCTGTGAGCCCACCAGTGAAGTAAAAATAGATACCACCAAGTAACCACCCTTCTAAAAGCGGAGTTTAATCATTTTTCAGTCATTTAACAAACACAAAAGAATTTACATGTACCAACTCTGCCCGAGAAGTAAACTTTGCATAATTAATCAAGATGCCTCCCTTACTTGTGCATCTGTGAATGCACAGCTACACCAACTGGCACTCAAGGGAAAATGCCTCGGGCCACCTCAGGGAGCAAATACCTCAAGTAAGCAGGGAGTATGAGCTGGTAGGGAAGGAAAAAACAGGCCTGAGTAACAGCCTGTCTGGAAAATAAGTATGGTTACCCAGCTCCCTGAAGTCTGTTTCATCAACTATCAGACATTATCAGCTACTTCTGAATTAAGCCATACTTTATCTGAACACCAGCACAGGCTGAAGGCACCTAATTAGTTGCAGAAGGTGGGAACGTCCAAAGCAGGTGAGGGAAGTGGAAGTCAAGCATCTGGGTGAAATGGGGAATTTGATGGAAAACTTGACTCAAATAAAAAGAAATATTGATGGAGCAGCTAATGAAGATGAACTTCGCCTCCTGCCCCCCAGCACAGATGATGCCATTTTATCACTCAGCACTAGGAAGGAAAGAGATTCCAAGGAAGGGGAAATTACAGGGCAGTTATCAACCTGGCCCTGTAACAGTGACACGAGATTGGCAGAGTGCCTGAGAAAGTGCTGTAGATCATTAAACACAGGACGTAAAATAAGATGTGCAAAGGAAAAGTAGCCCCTGGAAAATACTGCTGGCATTTCAGCTTTTCCAGCATGCCAGCTCATCCAGCAACAGAATGCCCGACCATATCCCCTTGTATCCACACACACAAAAAGAAGGAAAGGGATTGCCTAAAGCCAGAGAAAACATGGGAGTTCCACTTGCTCAGTGGTGATGAGCAATCTGGTCCCATATGTAGAAGGCTAAATCCTCATCACTCCATACACAGCACTCAGGAACGTTTGCACCTTTTGAGAAAAGAGTTGCCTGAGCTCCTTTTTAGGAGCTCACCTGAAAACATGAACAATTTTGCTCTAATTTTGTAACCGTCTGTGAGCAAAACCAAACTGGCATTCTTTGCATTACTTGTAAAAAGGAGAGTTAAAGCATTCCCAACTTCATAGCCATCTCAAGGCTTTGGTGCTAGAAAAGGCTGGCACAGTCAGGCAGAAAGGCAATGGTACAACACACATACCTTCAGGGTCCCAAAACTGCAGGGATTTGGAAAACCTTCCCCTACCCTCAACAAAGGGAAATGGGACACAGATCATGTATTTTCCTGATGAGAAACCAAGTTTCACAGAAAATCAGTGAACATGCTCATGCTCCCCACCTGCTTTCCAATTAGAGAGAAAAAAAAAAAAAAAGCAATTACTATAACTTTTTAATCAACAATTATTAGAAGACTTTTGAAATGAAGATTTCTAATTGAAAATGTCTTTCCTCACACGAGGCAGAGGATCAAAATATGACAAGACCACTAAGAAGTTTCTCTCAGCTGCGCAAACCATTTCTTAACCAGCTTAAGATTAATAAACAAAGACATATTCTAGACATTTCATATCCCTCCTGGACTTAGCCATGTATGCAAGGCAAACATGAGAAAGCTGTCTTCTTACTTTACTCTTAGTTGCAATGGAGCTCCAAGTAGTACATCACATTACACGGTTGCTAACATGGGAACCGCCTCATTCTTAGCATGCAGAGAAATACAAGGGGGAAAAATACAGGTCCAGGAAGAAGCCAATTTAAGTGTATCATTTATTAGCAAGTAAAAGGACATTTACCTTCTCAGTGGTTAACTACAACACAACCCAAGGATAAACCATATGGCTCAAGCCTTTGTGCAAGGGAGAAAGCTGGCAGATCTCCAAGGCTCTAATTGAACTATTACCATATTGTAAGGAATGAAAAGTCAGAAGACAGGAGGATCTGCTCTCCTAGGGCCAGTTTATGTCATGTGAACAATTAAGCGGGTAACAAAGCAAACTGAACAGGAGAGCAACTCCACCATTTGGATACTGGCTCGTTTTAAAGAAAACAGGTACTCTTCCAGTTCAATATTGCATTTAATTTGGTCCTACATTCAATGCCATGAAACCTTCCAAATCCAAATCCTTTGCAGCAAACAATACAACACTTCTTCAATCACTGGCTCAAGACTTTTCCATTTAGTCAATAAGGAAAGACATGGAGTAAGAATGCTCAAGTGAAACCCAGCAACACACAAAAAAGCATTAAAACTCTCTCAAAACTGAAAATTGCAGAAAATCGAGGACAAAGGTTTTGTATTTTGTATAAATAATCACCAATCTTTTCTTTCAAAGGCAGGCTTGATAAAAATATTCCACGTGTTAGCTGTTGCACATGCACAACAGGGTATGCGGTGAAACACAATAAAGCCACCAGGCCATGAACAGGTAGAATCTACAGTGGCTGTTTATACTGTCCTGTTACTTTGTGGGCAAAAAGCAGTGCAGTTGTACGAGGAGTGAAAAAAAAAAAATTCACAACCTTAACATGAAAATGAGTCTCTGAATCTTGTTCTTACCATTCTGCTCATCCAGCTCATTCCCAATTTCCTGCCCCATTTGCTTTTGCCGAGATATGATTGAAGAAAGAGCATCGAGTCCAGCATCTTGCTCTGCATCAGAAAAAGACAGAAAATGACATGAAAAACATTGCTTATTTGCCAGGCTATGTACTGTACAAATGAAGGAAAAGATCTAGTCTGTGCTTAAAGAGTTAAAATGGATTAAGAAAAATGTATCAACACAACATGAAAATGAATCCTTATAGCAACAGCACTCAATGTGAATGATGGGTAATTAATTTGTCTGCTCTGGCTGGGACATTTACCTGAGGGTCCCTCCTTCAAAAAAATCCAAGAATTCAACATTCAGCTGTTACTCAATCCTAAATGCAGGAGATTTTCTGGCACATGCATAGAGATCCCTGATTAGCCTTTTTCAATTTTCCAGGAAACTTTTAACATGAATAAAAGACAAACAGGTGATGCAAACATCAAAGAATTCAAACAGATTTTTAAGGCTGCAAGACGATACAGAGTGCATGGAAGAAAGCCTGAGACAGGGGGCACAGAGGCAGCTGAAGTTCCATGTGGTCCCACCAGCTCTGCAGACACTCCTTTATTAAGAACCTCAGCACCTCTGCTACCCCAGAGGGCAGGTTCTACACAGCCATTAGGACAAGGGCAGCTGCAGGTTTTGCACTAAGCTGTCAAGAAGCAGAAGAGGAAGAGCTGCTGGAAGCTGGACTACCACGCTCTGACAAACTACAGAGCAGCAATGCTGCACAGAGCAGGACTGCAGGCCAGGAGCCAAAAATTGTGCAGGGTGGCCAGAACACCCTTCCCTACAGTGGGATACCAATGGGGTAGTCAAAAACTGGAGCCTGATGTTTCTCCTGGACCATGCTGTTCTCCTGAACCATAGCTATAAATGCGGTTTCATGTGCAGACTGAAGCAGGCTTTATCTGGAGACTGATTTCATTTGATCACTTCCAAGAATTTAACTGCATAGAAATGACCTTATTTACCACCTCATGTCCTTGAGCCGAGGTTTTCCAACACTTCCAAAGTTACAGATTCCTTACAGATGCTAAGGGCCAAAATCTAAACAATCCTTTTTAGATTAGTTAATTCCTACCTTGCTCTAATTCAACAACACACATTACATCTCCCAGCCTTAAGCCCATCACTAACACCACTACACTCAGGGCAATTAATGAGACCCCCACTGAAAACCAAAACCATGAACATGGTCAAAACCAGGGATGGTCTGTAAGGTCTTTCAAAATTTCATTTACAAAGATGCTTTCAGTTAAGAATATTCATAAAATCATGGACTGGTTTGGATTGGAAAGCGGACCTTAAAGCTCATCCAGCTCCAACCCCTTGCCACGGGCAGGGACACCTTCCACTAGAGCAGGTTGCTCCAAGCCCCTGTGTCCAACCTGGCCTTGAACACTGCCAGGGATGGGGCAGCCACAGCTGCTCTGGGCACCCTGTGCCAGCACCTCAGCACCCTCACAGGGAAGAGCTTCTGCCTAATATTTCAAGCACAGTTCTGCTCCTGAAAATACAGAAAACAACCACCTGGCAAGGCCAGGTTGGACAGAGCCTTGGACGACATAGTTTAGTGTGTGGTGTCCCTGCTCACGGCAGGGGGGTTGGAACTAGATGATCTTATGGTCCTTTCCAACCCTAACTATTCTATGATTCTATGATGTTTGACATCTGCAGATAATAAAATTTCAGCACAAGTTATTGTATTGACTTTCTAATAAGGGCTCCTCTCAGATGTACTGATGCTTGTAAAAACCAGAAAGATTCTTGTACCTTCTATGATCCTTCGCTGCTGCTGCCTGAGATTGTCACAGCCAAGCCCTCTGGTTTCTTCAGATTCTTCCAAGAGCCACGGGTTAGTGACACCTCGTCTGACCCCTCCTGTCATTAGGCTCGATCTGAAAATAACTTCAGTAAATAATTTTCAACACAAACTCATCATATAATCTGTGCTGGCCAGACTTGCTGACAGAGGCGGAACCGGAGGTATTCGTTGCACTCCATGTGATTCTCTGGAATCATAGAAGAAATTAGCCCAAAAGAATCTGACACTCTCCAATACCAATGCATCCTGCAGGCTCCATAAGGCTACCTTAGAAGAGGTAAAGCAGAAAGAATTAATTTTGCAGTGAAAAATTACGCTACGTGGTGAAATGTACACTATACATTGTTCAATATACTCATATTAAACATTGTTTGCACATAGAACAGACAGCATCCAAAACAGCTACAGAGCAATAGGGTTCCTGAGAATACACATATTATTGAGGTTATCTGCTGTGATAAAAACGTAGGCAAAACCATAAGAAAAAACATCTCTTCATAGGAACACCTCTGCTATGGGGACAGCCTGGAGAAGAGAAGGCTCTGGGGAGACCTTAGGGCAGCTCCTGGTGCCTAAAGGGGCTACAAGAAACCTGGAGAGAGACTTTGGACAACAGCCTGTAGGGACAGGCCAAGGGGAATGGCTTTAACCTGACAGAGGGGAGATTGAGATGAGCTCTGAGGCAGAAGCTCTTCCCTGTGAGGGTGCTGAGGTGCTGGCACAGGGTGCCCAGAGCAGCTGTGGCTGCCCCATCCCTGGCAGTGTTCAAGGCCAGCTTGGACACAGGGGCTTGGAGCAACCTGCTCTAGTGAAAGGTGTCCCTGCCCATGGCAAGGGATTCGAACTGGATGAGCTTTAATGTCCCTTCCAACCTAAACTATTCTATGATTATACGAAACCACAACTTATCAAAACACTGAAGTATAGCCTGAAAGCTTCCAACAGCAAAAGGATCAACATGCTAATACAGATGCAAATCAGGTAAAACTACTCATTCCTACATTTCAGTAGGAATCCTGACCAAACCTAAGAAAGGAACATTTCTGCAACTCCAAATCTGCACATGGACATCACACAACTCCTCTCCTGCACTTCTAGCCTGGCAGCTAGACGAGCAAGAAGTCAGGCACCCACTCTTAAATGAGAGAGTAATCAAGTTATGGGGTTTATTTTAAAAGAATTATGACTTGTGTTGTTCGTGTTACAGACACTTCCCTGGTTACAGCAGAAAACAAGTTTTTCATGTCCAGGGCACATAAATTCAAGTAGTAAAATGAAATGACACTTAAATATTTTTCTCGATACCAGATTTCTGGTTTCCGCCTTTCAGCTTTTCATTGGATTCTCCTACAAGAAAAACATCAGATGACAGATTGTGAGGCACTTGAACCCGAAACTGCAACCCAGATGTGGGGTAGGAGTCACTGTACAATCAGTTCCTCAAGAGCAGGACAGAAGGAAGAGGTTTGTCTTTCTGCTTGGCTTTTCTTAAGCCCTGTATTTTAGTCTTATTTTACCTTTGCCCCGTTATTTCCCAAAGCACTTCCACAAACCAGGCAAGGAGCATTTTTAGGATCTCTCAAATTCTCTAGATGTTTTAATTACACTAAGATCTTTTTCTTTTTTTTTTTTTTTTGTAATTTTGGTTTGGTTGCTGGTTTGGTGGTGGGTTTTTTGTCTGCTTTTTTTGGAGGGGGATCGTGGTTTGTTGGGGATTTGAGGGGAAGGGGTTTATTTTGTTTTGTTTTCTTTACATTGCGTCCAGGTCCCCTCTCCAGGAGACAGACTGAAACACTGCACGGCACACAAACATATGCTTAAAATCATTCTGTGGTCCAAATCCTGTATCAAAAGAAGTTAACTCCACACAAGTGTCAGTGGAGGAGTTGATGCACCCTGCAGATATCCAGGGGGATGACTGAAGGCTTACAGCAAAATCCAGAACTTGGGTCTAGGAGTTCCTTGAGGAATTATGGTGAACTAGAGACATCTGCTGGCCGTGAGAAGGATCAACACGGCTGAAAAATAATTCATCACCACGGGAGTTTTGCGCCATCCATAAATTATAGGCATATAGATCCTCATCTGTGTTCAGCACACCACCCACTTCACACTGCAACCCCAGACAGTTCCACTCAAGAACGTTCAACCTCTTCTCATGTAAAACTCAACTTCACCTCGAGGTAATGGATTTATCAGAATCAAAAAAAAAAAAAAAGGAATCCCAGAATCCCAGGTGGAAGGACCTCAAGAATCATCTGGCCCAACCTTTCCTGGCAAAACAGGAGCTAGGCTAGATGTCCCAGCACCCTGTCCAGCTGAGTCTTAGAAGAGTCCAATGCTGGGGAGTCCACCACTTCCCCATGGAGATTATTCCAATGGCTGATCGTTCCCTTTGTGAAAACTTTCCCTCTTGTGTTCAGTCAGAATGTCCCCAGGACAAACTTGTGCCCATCACCCCTTTTCCACATCACTCCCTGGAAAAAGGGAGTCTCCATCTTCTTTGTAGCCACCCTTTAAATACTGAACACGGTGGTAAGGTCTCCCGAGCCTTCTTTTCTCAAGGCTGAACAAACCCAGTTCCCTCAGCCTTTCCTCATGGGGATTCCGAGTCCTCTGATCACAGAATGCTACGTATGTTTAAAACTTAGTTTTACATGTAACTGCATTCTGTAAAACACCTTTTGGAACAAATGTTGCAGCATGAAAAGCTTAATCTGTAAGTTGACCAGCAGCTGTGGTACTGACATATCAACACTGCCAGTTGGGTTGGAAAGGACCTTAAGATCATCTAATTTCAACCCCCTGCCATGGGCAAGGATGCCTCACACTAAACTCCTCGGATTCTCCAGAGCTGATGTCATCCCTTTTCTAGCACTGGAACAGGTTAAATACTACTCTGTGACATGTGGCTTGCTTAAAACTGTAAGAGTGGTCCTCTAGGCAAGGAGAAATGTTTGAAAATAAGAGATAAGCGGTAACTGTAGTAATATTTGTCCTAAACAAGGCAGTGGTGGGAGGATAAATTAGACTTCAGGTGGATCACTTGATCACACTTGATTAGTTGAAAATGATTACTTTGTTCTCTCAACAGAGGCCACCCTTTAAATACTGAACAAGGTGACGTCTTCCCTGAGCCTTCTTTTTCCAAGGCTGAACAAGCCCAGCTCTCTCAGCCTTTCCTCATACAGCTTCCCAGTCTTCAGATAATGCCTGTGGCCCTTCTCTGGATCCTCCCCAGCCTGTCAACATCTTTTTTTGGAGAGCAGGAAAACAGCATTGCAGGTGTGGCCTGACAAGCGCTGACAGAGCGGGGTGTTTTTTTGCTACAGGACTAAAAAGCGCTTATTGTAAATCACAACATCTCACTTAAGTATCCTGATGGGGCTGGAACACCCCGTGGAGCAGAACCCAGGCTGTGTCAGCGACCAGTTGACCACCACAGGCAACATCCAGAAGAGGAGCTGGGAATCTTCCATATTCCAGTCCTCTGCACCTCCATTAAAACTTAAATTTTTATCAAGGTAGGGAGTCAGGCTTGATTAGACAGAGACGCGCACACACCCTCCCCCCCCAAAAAAAGTTTTATACCTCACCTAAACACCATTGTTTTGGGGGACTAACCACATATTTTCTAGTCTCATGACAACTTCTACCAGGTTCAGAGACAAAGCAAATGATACATAAAGCTCTTTGCTTGCTGAAGAGAGCACAAGCATTTCTGCCTGTTAAAGAAAAAAAGCCAAGGCAAGCAAAATGGAAATAATTTGCACCACTCGCTCTCTCCCTCCCCCCAAGTAACCTGCCCTATTCCTGTAGGCTGGGTCATGACAACTAGTCTGCTCATTACAATAATCTTTTTGACATGTTTGGTAACTACCTTCCCACACAACACAGCAGAACTTCCTACTTCCTCTGATCTTACCGCGTCTCGCTTTGGTGGTGTGAAGATTAAAGCTTATCCAATTAGCCACCCACTGCCTCCGCCAAGTTAATCACGTAAATCTTTAAAAGCGCCACGGAGCAGTGGAGTGTGCAGATAGCTTTTGATTGTAGGAGCAGATTTAACTAATTACGAGGCTTAGCAATGCACCCAAGTATAAAAGATGATGGGGTTTAAAATCAGGGAGCTATGTCACTGCTGAACAAGGGAGGGCATATCTTCCCAAAGGCATTGTTTCACTGATAATTCTTATAAAACTTCCCAAGTAACTTAGATTAGTCAACCAGCACTTACTTTAGACCAAGGCCACACATCAAGGCTTACGGCTTTAGAAGACTGATCAGCAAGACTGAATTTTGAACAAAACCTGGGTCATATGACAATTGGTTGGATGATCACTTGAACATTCCCTTAACGATACAGTTATACAGGGGGGCTCTTTGAAGTGCCCAGGGCACCCCAGCTTGGCTTCAGAGGTCAATCTCCAAGGCAATGGCAAAGAAGCGGGGGGATTCTCTCACTTACGATTCAATTGCTCACACTGGCAAGCAGGGTATTTTAGGAAGCTCCAAGCTACTAAATAAAACAAGTAGAACTTTAATGTACAAAACAAGAGGTCTCTCCCCCTCCAAAAAAACCTAGGAGAAGCCACATGAGTGCAAGCAATTCCAAATGCCCTCCAGGTATCTTCCCAGGTGGAGGCTCCCGCTAGAAGACTGCAGAAGGGGCAGCATTCCCTGCAACTGGCAGAGGATTTCCTTGGCTCCCCCCAAACAAGAACTGGTGTTCTCATGTTCAAGGAAATGCCATGTTGCTCTTGACACCATTTACTACTGGTCCCACTGGCTTCAAAGACTGGAAGCTGCATAATGCAGCTCCCCGCAGGATGCCAGGCAGTGATGTGCAGGACACAGTGATCTCAGAGTGGTCAGCAGACCACTGAAGTGACAATCCTCCTGTACGGGGCACTGGTGAAGCTGCACCTCAAATCCTGTGTTCATTTCTGGACCCCTCACTGCAAGAGAGACACTGAGGTGCTGGAGCAGGGCCAGAGAAGGGCACCGGAGCTGGTGCAGGGCCTGGAGCACAAGTGTGATGAGGAAGGGCTGAGGGACCTCGGGGGGTTAGTCTGGAGAAGAGAAGGCTCAGGGGGGACCTTATCGCTCTCTACAACTGTCTGACAGGAGGATGGAGCCAGGAGGGGGGTGGTCTCTGCTCCCAAGGAACAAGGGATGGGACAAGAGGAAACGGGCTTAAGCTGCACCAGGGCAGGTTTAGATGGAGCTAAGGAACAATTCCTTCCCCAGAGGGTGCTCAGGCATTGGAACAGGCTGCCCAGGGCAGTGCTGGAGTCACCGTCCCTGCAAGTGCTCACACCCTGGGTAGCCGAGGCCTCAGTGCCATGGGTTAGTGGTGGCTTTGGCACTGCTGGGGAATGGTTGGAGTTGATAATCTTAAAGGTCTTTTCCAACCTAGTTGATTCTATAACTCTATGCCTTCACAGCACCTCCAGGACCACTATTTTTGCCCATAACACATGCACAGCAGCTTTGCACTGCAGAACAAGCAGCTTCCAACCACCTCATGCTTGTAGAGGACAGCAGGCATCCGCAGAGGAGCAGCACAAGGCAAGCCACGAGCTGGAAGCATGTCTGCACCATTATACAGGCACACATGTCCTGGCCTAACACATCTGCTCAAAATGCTGGGTGTCTTGTGGTAAGAAGCTACACAGAGGAGTTACCCCTACAGCTGGAAAAGTGCCCCCAGCGAAGGTCACCTTTATAACAACACAGGTCTTATTTCACAACAGTCTCGCTTTCCTGGGCAAACCCTCAAAATATACATTGCAATAATCATTTCCATCAGAGATGAATCTTGCTACAAAATAATACCGTCTACTTTACACCATCCCTTATTTTCTGTACAAGATTAGACACAGCACAATACTAAATACGTTATAAAACAGCTTATATAGTCTTCATCAAAACATTCTTACCTCTACAGCCCATTTGCACTCCTCAGGAATTAAGAGAATTGTAAGAAAGAAGAATTGTTTCTAGAATCACAGAACGGTTTGGGTTGGAAGGGACCTTAAAGCATGGTGTGAAATCATGGGGATTTCTGCATCATTCTTCCCCCATCTGTTCCAATAACCTGCACAGATCTCTTTCCAAGGAGAGAAGAGGGGAGAAGATACAGAAGTTGTCTACTGAAAACTAATTAAAGAAAATTTAACTGACCCTACTCAGGCGAAGCCACGGAAACAGCACAACCTTCCCCCTGGAAAATTCCAGTTGCATCTTAATTAAGGCCGACAATGCCGGAAGGTGAACTAAAGCTATAGCAAAGTAATGCAGTGTCCTGCCCTGTGTTCTAGCCCAAGTTGTCAGTTAGGATAAATACTAAGAGCATTAAGGCCACTGTACTTCACAATCAGAAATAGCTTTACAGCAGTTTTCAAAGAATGTAAAACTCACTGAATGGTGACCAAATATAAACGAAGATTAATTCTAGCGAAACCCTCACAGCTATAGGCCATAGGGACAATAAGTATGTGATCAGTGGTGCAAGAAGGTTAATGAAAGCAATGACTGCTGGAAGGAAAAAGACTTCTGAAAATGCGTGCTGTCACATCAGAGCTGGATTAGATATAGAAAACCAATACAAAACCAGAGAGAAGTGTCACTGCTAGAACTTAATCAAACAACATGCACTGATTTTTCTAATGCAGTGGGAAAAGCTGGCTTTCAGACTTCAGACACACGAAAGAGTGGCCTTTGCCACTGACTGAAACCCAAAGCAGGCTGTTACAGAGGTCTGCAACAATTTTAGAGAACGCCAGTGCTGTAAACAGCAGCTTAACCCTCCAACTCTGCAAGCAATGGGGCAGGCAGGGAGACGAGCTCCATCCCTGTGCACCCACATGTGGGGCAGGCTTAGGCCAGGCAGGTTTGACTCACTGGCACAGGATTCAGGCCCTGGCTATGTCTCTGCCTGTACCACTAAAACCAAGACCTACATGGGAGAATATGGAAGGCGTGTGATTTCACCAGACAGAGCATATTTGGCATAGTTTTATCCATTTTTAATTAAAGAAGTTAAAAGAGAATATAAAACTTCAAGCCTTGCAACACTAGCAAATAAATACTGTTTCTGATGTTACCCGGTGCTGGAAAATACTAGTTTTCCTGACCATTTCTAATGGAGCTCGAAATTATCACAAGGTTTGGATATTTTCCTCACATCTGCCTCAACACCTTGACACCCAAGCAGCTCTAGGTCGACTCCTCGTTCTCTGTCTCTTCCACAGCAGCAACATGCCAGTGCTGCATGGCCTCAGTCAGGAAGGCCACATTTCAGAAGGTCACATTCGTTTATGGACTGCTCAGAACAGGAGTCTCACAAGAACTTTCTCACATCATGAGTCCTGCAGACATTTTTCCTAATGCTATTTCACATGTTTTGGTTGACTCTGTGATAGGTGTAAGAGCTAGAACCAACGCATCACCTGGATATGCACTGTGCTCTGAAAAACCATGGAATGGTTTGGGTTGGAAAGGACCTTAAAGCTCATCCAGCTCCAACCCCTGCCACAGGCAGGGACACCTTCCACTAGGGCAGGTTGCTCCAAGACCCATCCATCCTGGCCTTGAACACTCTCCCCAGCTTCTCGGGGCACCCTGTGCCAGCGCCTCAGCACCCTCACAGGGAAGAGCTTCTGCCTCAGAGCTCATCTCAATCTCCCCTCTGGCAGGTTAAAGCCATTCCCCTTGTCCTGTCCCTCCAGGCCCTTGTCCAAAGTCCCTCTCCAGGTTTCCTGAGGCCCCTTTAGGCACTGGAGCTGCTCTAAGGTCTCCCCTTCAGGAGCCTTCTCTTCTCCAGCTGACCCAGCCCATCTCTCTCAGCCTGGCTCCAGAGCAGAGCTGCTCCAGCACTCGCAGCAGCTCCGGGGCCTCCTCTGGACTCACTCCAGCAGCTCCACGTCCCTCTTGTGCTGTTGCCCCAGAGCTGGATCAGGACTGCAGGAGCGCAGCAGAGGGGCAGAATCCCCTCCCTGACCTGCTGCTCATGCTCTGGAGGTGCAGCCCAGCACACGGAGGGGTTCTGGGCTGCCAGCACAGCCAAACCCAACCGATTTGCAGAATGCCAACCTAGAGCTGTTACTGGGTTCACAGAAAGTCCACAGTTTCATTGTCCACAGCAGGCATTGCACTGACGTCTGGTTACACAAAGGTAACACACCACAAAGGGAAACATGTGCTTCAGCTGCACCACAATGGAGGAGTAAAGCAAGCAGAACAAAACCTCTACACCATGTTACTGAATAGGCCCTCATGACACGTGAATACACATATGAATACAGAAAACTATCAGTTAAACTTTGAGTACCTCTTATATGTGCTCCAAGAAACACAAAGTAAACAAGCTAGTAAAAAAGTCTTAATTTCAACACTCTTAGTAGGACGCAATTCTCACATTGGTACCCAGTTTTTCACTGTACAATAGCCTCAAAACTGTCTCTGCCTTATTCAAGAGCACAGTGCTGAGAAGAGACTGGTTCTCAAAGATCATCAGGGAAAAGATTTATCTCTTCAGAACTTCAGAGCTCAAAACACATGAAGTTTTGTTTTGTTCTAAAGAGAACTATGAGAGCTGACATACTCCAGAAAGGTGAGAAACTTTCTCAGGAGGGCTCTAACACTCACGCTCCCACAAATAACCTTCTATGCGTAAGCATCAAATTCAACACTGTGGATCTGGTCCAGAACAGGTCCAGTGAATGGAGTGCATTAGGAAATGCCTCTCACTTAGAAGCACAAGCTAAAAATTTGCAAAACAATGTCTTTCTGTCACATGCCCCTGTTGCTGAAGCACAGTTGCTCTCTTTGGAGGCAGAGCTCGCTGCTGCACAGGGCAGCAGAGGTGAGGAAGCTCTGCTCAGCCGCATTGCGTGACCCAGACCACACACACAGCACCATGGAGGGCCCACAGGGCAGAGCACAGCCCCTTGCACGACCCACAGACAGACTAAAATCTCTGCCTGCTGCGTCAAAGCTTCCCCCGCTTCAATAAAATAGGTGTCTGAGCCTCATATATGCGATTCATACAAAGCTCCTGAGAACATATATTGACTTCTTTTTAAATATGAGGCTTTAAACTAAAGATTTACCAGTTACAATTTACACTCAAGAGTCATTTCATTGACCGTGGAAATACAGCAAGCTCTGAAAACTCAGACACTCAGCACCACTCCTCTTCTGCACTTGCTTGTGCAAGTTCAGAGGAGGCCACAGAGCTGCTGTGAGCACTGGAGCAGCTCTGCTCTGGAGCCAGGCTGAGAGAGATGGGCTGGGTCAGCTGGAGAAGAGAAGGCTCCTGAAGGGGAGACCTTAGAGCAGCTCCAGGGCCTAAAGAGGCTCCAGGAAACCTGGAGAGGGGCTTTGGACAAGGGCCTGGAGGGACAGGACAAGGAGGAATGGCTTGAACCTGCCAGAGGGGAGACTGAGATGAGCTCTGAGGCAGAAGCTCTTCCCTGTGAGGGTGCTGAGGCGCTGGCACAGGGTGCCCAGAGAAGCTGTGGCTGCCCCATCCCTGGCAGTGTTCAAGGCCAGGTTGGACACAGGGGCTTGGAGCAACCTGCTCTAGTGGAAGGTGTCCCTGCCCGTGGCAAGGGGTTGGAGCTGGATGAGCTTTAAGGTCTCTTCCAACCCAAATCACTGTGATTCTTTGACATGATACCATCACTAAAAAAGCATGTGATTCCTAAGCAAATGAAACTGCAGTTTGCTACATATAGAGATACAGGAGTTCAATGTCTGCATTTAACACTCCCTTCGGACACACTCAAAGCACAATCACATTGCTCACTTGAGGCAACAGTGCCGTACCTTATCACATCTGGTTCTGTGCCTTCATTCTTGTAAGATGCCTGAAGTTGTTTCTGTCGTGTGAGAAGATCATCCACCAAATTCTGTCTCCTGTCTCCCTCCAGCTGTGTGCTGAGGATACTTAGTTAAGGACCAAACTTAAAAACAGTTAAAAATTTTATTACATAAAATACTGTTATACATTCTTAAAATAAATCAGTCCTCCTGACCATCAGAATTAACTACAGTAACTGTTTTAACCCAAGAAAAGGCTGTAACATCTAAGGGAAGGATAGGTCATATTTTTCTGAACAAAATCTGCAGTTATTCTAAATGTGTTTCTGGCTTACATATCTCAAAGAAAAAGTTTCATACAGGACCACAGAGTGATCTTCAGGCCACCATCTCAAATTAAGGAGAGAACTGGAAGGCTATTTATTGCTCAATTAGCATGAGGATTACGAACTGCATTTCCTCCTCCAAAATCCAACATAATTTTTCTTTCACTTATTATAACCCAGTTGATCTTCGTCTATAACACTGACAATGTGTAACAGTGCTGCACGGCTTAAGTTCAGGGGAGGACAGTCTTAAAATTGCTCCCATTTACACTATTATCATACCAAGAGGGCAGGGCCAACCAGAAGCTTTTAAAGTCAGGAACGTATTCACATCTTATTTCACTGGAGGCTCAATACACAGACCAGGTGAGCAGCTCCCAGCCAAGTGCTCAGTGAACAAAAAATTTACTTGTTGCAAGTTTCCATTTGCAATTCATCAGCAGAACACCCCAAAAGCCACTGACACAGCAGAAAAACAATCCATTCTGTACCTCTGAAAGACAAGATGCCCTGAAGTGCTGCAGCTTCCACAGGGCACCTGTGTTTGCTTATTTTAATTAATCTTAGTGACATTCTGAAGGACTACAAACTCTCTTCCAAGTACTGTTGAGTAGATTATGCAACAGCTGAACTGATTTGCATCTGTTTTCTGCCACAGGATTTGTCTGCTTGAGAGCATTCACTGGACAGGAAAGTTTTACCCCTAGCCATGAGCACAGCACTCAGGGGCCTGTGCTCAGAAGGGATTTCTGCTGTAGCAAGCTTGAAATTAAATATTCATTCATTAAACCAGATGGCTGCTGAATATCTCCAGGGGAGAGATGTACGTCTTTCACTCCTTATCCTTCCAGCATATGGAAGGAGCAGCAAAACCAAGCCATGCCCCAGGGTAACACTGCTAGAAGAAAACCTGTGATTTCTTTCTAAGGCCTGATTTTGACACCATTCCGAAGATGAAGTTCCACTGCTCCTTAAGCCAGTCCAAGTCAGGGCTGCCACATCCCTGCCCACACCCTGAAGAGAGCTTCATCCTTCCCTTCTGCCAGCACTGGCACCCTGCAGGCAGTGACTGCACCAAGAGAAAACAGCAGAGGAGCACATTTTCTGCTAGAGGAGTGAGCTGAGCTCAGAAAGCAGATCAGCAGTGTCAGCACAGCACACAGGCAAGGCGAGGGCAGCTCTGAGGTTATTCAGACCATGTTGTTAAGCTGCTCTCCGACACAACCATACCCAAAGCCAGCCTCAAGGCCACTATACCAGGTGGCAGGAGGCTCCCAACCCTTCCTGCACGACAGCTGCAATGAAAATATTCAACAGGAGCATGGACAAAATTCTAGTGACAAAGTCTAAAAACAGACTGAGAGAAAACCCCTAACTCTGTGGCGAAGCAACTACAGCCTATTTTTTCCACTCTCTCCCACAACACAGAAAGGTCAGTGAGCTGATGTTTACACAGATACATTTGGTGTGTTGATACAGCCCAAAGCAGTAAGTCCTTCAGCTGATCAATCTTCTCTTGGAGATTCTGCAGCGATGACCTGATAAGCACATTGAGCTGAAGGGGAAGAAAGAAAAGTTTTTCAGTTGGAGTTATACTTGCATAAAATTTCATACTACTACATGCAGGTGACAATACATATAAATTCAGCTGTACTGGAGTGAAGGACTCCATTCCAAGCGAAGAAAGCCTGCCTCAGAGCCACAGGGGATCGACATCGCCAACTGGTTTGGACTGCCTAGAAAATAATGAGATAAACAGTGCTAGTTTCACAAACACAATTCTAATGTATGAATGCTGTTTAATATGGAGAGCTTTCTTTCAAGTCTTTATAAACATACTCCTTTGTATGGGCAAAACATTTCAGCACACTAGTATTTTCCAGTTAGTTTTCCAGTTCTTTCCTCTGATCTTTCATACAAACAGAGGCAGCAGCTTCTCCTGCCACCAGGTTTCTTTCCCAGCTCCCTGGATTAAAGGGAAGGTTGCCACAGGCTCAGACATTCCCTCCACTAAACTCCAAATCTTACACTAAAGATCCCACAAGAAATTCAGATTTCTTCTGTTTCCCTTCTCAGCAGCACCTGACCCTGGACCCTTCCTCACAACTGACCTGCTCCACACCCAGATGCATCTGTTCTTACTAAAAAGATAGTTAAGTCATTCACATTCTTCCCTGTTGCAAGCAAGCCTGAAGCTTGCAGGAATCATCCTCCTCCTCTCTGCCCGCCCATTCCCAAAGTAGGCTGAAATTATCCCCTGGGTTTTTCCTCCTCAAATGTTATTTCTTTTCATTACAGTTATGTAGAACATACTAGGAAAAAACACTGTAACTGCAATGAACTATGCAAGTCATCCTAATTAAGGTTTTATGTGCTTCTTGTTTACAAGACATCAGCCCTCAGATGCTCTGTGTGATGAACTGCTTACACAGAAGGAATATTTCCTTTGACTCGCCTTCTTGAAGACGCAGAGGCAGCAGCCAGACACCAGCATCTCGCCAAGCTGTCACCATGCTGCAAGGATCCATCAGCTGAACTGCACTGATATTGCACAGGGCCTGAGCAGGAGAGCCCAAAACCCCTCACAACAGCAGAAGTTGAAATCCCTGACTCAGTGACACTCATTCTCAAACCCTGCCAAATACAACGATGGGAAGCAGATGCAACCACGCTGAGGCAGCCTCAGGAGTACGCAGCCAAAATCCAGACCCAAAGCAGCTGAAACTGCAGCAGCGTTTCCAAAGCCAGGGTGGGGTGTACATGCTTTTAGGGCAGTTGGAGCTGCTGCATGTCCTCTAGCTCTGCAGGCAGGTAATAGAAGGTCTTTACATTTCACATGTAACCACAGCCAGGTGGAGAATGCTGCATTTAACTGACACAGCACAGCAAAGTAACATCAAGGTACATGTGTCTAACACACGGCCACCCACTGCTCCTCTGGGCACAAACTGCAGTGTTCTAACTAAAGAGTTTGCTTCCATTAGAGGGAAAAAAAAAAAAAAAAAAAAGAAAAAAAGAAACCAGTGGGAGTTTTAAGATCAGCTCAATAGAGCAACTCACAACCAGTGAAGTGCTGCTGGAAATATTCCCCTACAGAGTTTTGGGTTGGGGTTTTTTTTCCATTTTAAATGTTATCCTCTGTTTTTTGCTCAGCAGAAGGTGGTTTTAGCTATGCTCATGGCAAAATACTATGAAAAGAAAAACTTGTTTACATTCTCCCTACCAGGCAAATGTTGTACAAAGATGTTTTCCTCCGTTAAAATATTCAGGAGTCACAGAACGTGACTGCTCAGCCGTGGATTTCTCAACATGCATGTCTGTTATGAAAACAACTCTTATTGTTGGAAACCTGTTTATAGTAGAATCACACACTGCCAAATATTCGTCTTTAACTCTTAATGGATTAAAAGCAAACCAGGCTTGGAAAACAGAGGGCATGGAACAAATGATTTTATGAAGAAATAAGTCAACCATGTAATGTTTCCATAAAACACAACCTCAGAGAGCTATGGGACAAGAAGGGTTTCAAACAACCCCAATACAATGTTTTGTTGGGGGTTTGGGGAATGCAGCACCGGCTGCAATGATGTCAATCAAGGACTTTGTGCCCTATGAACACAGACAGATTAAGCAACAAACTTTTTATTAGTCTTCTGTTGCTTGAGGGTATCTGTACAATACCTAATTACTTGGGTATCTTGAATGCAGGGCGTTTAACCACCACCTCAAAACACTCCTCAATTCTACCACTGGAGAAAATATTTTTCTCAAATTCCACTTACTTGGGCCTCCTGAAACCTCTTTTCACTTCATGCCAGATTGCAGCATTCATTAAAAAACAGATTATTGGACAAAGCCTATACAGTTTTCTTCAATGTATTTTCAAAGGACCTATTTCCAAAAAGGACATCCGATGTTAAAAGCTATCAGCAAAGAGACTGGCAAAGAAGATTCCGTGATCACGCAGCATGGTACAACCCTGCTACAGAGAGGGGCAGAGTCTACAAAATACATCAGCAGGGTTTAAATTATGCAAATTATTATAAAAGACCAATTCAAGGGCTCACACGCCTTTTCCTCTTAAAGCAGTCACAGGAGAAGTTAATGGCATGATCCCCAGGGCTGCGATCAAGCAGGGTCCTACACTTCTGGAGGGGAAAAATGAGGCTTTTAGTCCTAAATAAAGTAGCCTCCTGAGAATCTTCTTATTTTTCAAATGAGAAGTGTGGAAAGGTGGAGAACATAATATTCCTGGATGAGCTCTAACTTTTGCTTCTTGTTCATATTTAACTCCAGGCTTACACTTTGTTAGAAATGTAGCTTTAAAAAGCTGCAAAATTCATGTTTCATCTGATTTACAACCACTACAGAAAGTTTTTCCCTTGCGGGGGAAAAAACTATCTATTCAATACACACACAGAAGGGAGTACTCAGAAGCTGATGTGCGTCCGTTAGATTGAGGATGTCTGAAACAGTTCTGGTCCTGGCAGTCACAGCCCTGACCCACCAGCAGCATGTGCCCAACACTCCCCCAGCTTTTCCTTCTCTCTTTTGTGAAAACAACATCCTTGCATGCACAAAAGACTAATTAGTGTTAAATCCAAAATTCCTGTTGTGACATTGAAAAGACACCTTTAATTTAGAAACTTTATTCTTGCTTCCTTTATGACAATCTTGAAGAACATACCACTAACACTAGTTCCTGCCACCAAACAGAACTTTTCATCTGCAGATTCCCAGTGGGCAGCAGTGACGGGCGCAGCCCAGCCCGGGACTGAGGCAGGCAGCAGAGCATCCCCTTCCCGCAACACACCTTCCAGGCAGCAGCAGCTCCCCTTTGCGGGCAGGGAGGGGCGGGTTCAGGACTCGGAGCCTCCTCAACACATCCAGTTCCTGCCAATTTACTTCTCAACCAGTGCTGCATAAAATCACAGAGTGGTTCGTGTTGGAAGGGACTTTAAACCTCATTCAGCTCCAACCCCTGCCACGGGCAGGGACACCTTCCACTAGACCACGTTGCTCTGAGCCCGTGTCCAACCTGGCCTTGAACACTGCCCGGGACGGACCCTTTAGAACAGCTAAAAGCAAAACATGGCTACAAACGGGCGCTCACAAAGGCCAGAGCCGCCGGCCGAGGAGTACCTTGGGCGAGCTTTCCCCGCTCCTTCCGTAACGTCTGCGCTCCCGCTCCTCTGGTACCGGTTACGCTCCTGGATTTTCTCGGCGACCTCCTGAGCGACCTGGCAGGCGGCATCGTACAGCGAGAGCCTGCGGGCGAGAGGCGCCGGATGAGCCCCACCCATGCCCGGCTTC